CACTGCCGCATAGCTGCTACCCTGGGAGTTTCCTTTCCTTCTCTCCTGATTCCTCATTTCTGTTACTCCTGAATTCTGGCGAGTCTCTCCACTCTTAAACTGCTCATTACATAAGTTTACTGGAGGGACTGTTTCTCAGACATTGCATGTATGAAATGCCATTACTAAAACCACATTCCCATGTTTGGCTGGGTATGGAATTCTAGTTTAGAATCATCTTTTCCAAGAATTGCACAAAGACTGGTATACAGTCCACTTTACAACTCCTGTAAAAACTGCTACTACGTCTTGATTTGTATCTCCTCGTTTGTGTGTATGAGACGTGTGTATGGAGTGTGCTGCTCACACCTCTCTGTGGGTGCACACACTGCATGTGGAAGGCAGATGAAGCCGCCGTTGGGAATCCTCCTCTAGCACCAGCTGCCTTGTTCCTCGGAGGCACAGTTTCTTGCTGAACCCGGAGCCTGGGCTTTTTGGCTAGGCTGACAACCGTTACAGCCACCAGGGTGCTATGGCCTAGGCTTTCGTAAAAGGCACTTCTAACCAACAGCCATTTCTCAGTTTCTTTGTTTCTTCTGTGTAAACTTTTAAGATACCACTTTTTAAAACTGTCTTTCCCATCATTTGCAATACATTCGGTGTGAATTATTTCTCAGTGATCTTCTGGAAGGCACATGTTACTGCGGAACTTGTGTTCTTCAGTTACAGCAGCTCTTCTGTGTTACTCTGTTGATAACTCTCTGCCCTTCCATTTACCCCTTCTGTTCTATCACGTGCATGCTGGTCTCCTGGACTGCTCTAACTTTTCAACATTTTTACTCTTTCATTTTCAGGTGAAGACTGGGCGCATTCAAGGTGGTCTGGTAGTAATCTCTTCTCTCATTCTCAAGCTGTTTATTCTTTCTGTGACAATCCCTGGAAATTTCTTTAAGTGTTCCAGTCCAACTACAAAAGTAATTTTATTTTCTCTTTCCTGACTTCTCTTCTCTCCTCTTCCCTTTTCTCTTGTTTTCTCTAACTTCTATGGCACTTGTGGTTTCTGGACACCTTTAGATATTATTTTCTTCTTCTTGTACAGATGCATTATCTATTATTTCAAATCTCAGAGTGCACGTTTTTATTCTAGATTAGAAGAGACCCTTGTTGGCTGTTCCTTTTTAAGACTATTTCCTTTTCTTGCCATTGTAGTATAGCGACATCCCTTCCTTTCCTCCCTCTTATCCACCCCTCCCCCTTCTCTTTCAAACTCATGGCTCCTTCCACACTCATTGCTGTTACACACTCATGGTATATGCATATACATATATATTTTTATGTACACAAATACAATCTTCTCAGTCTGTTCGAGGATTCTTTTATGAATGTTTTCAGGCTGACTATTTGGCGCTGGATAATCAATTGGAGTGTTCTTCCTTGGGGCAGACTATTTCTCCCTCTCGCCGAATTCCTTAGTTGCCTGTAGTTCTTTATGGAGGGCTGAGGCCTTCTGGGCTTTTATTATTAATTTTTACTCCACATGTTGTTCCTGTATTATTCTCTCTCACCATTTGCTTTTCTTTAACAGATTATATTTTTAGATTGTTTGTAGGGTCTCAGCAAAATTAAGAAAGTATAAGGCTGTGTGATATACCTTCTGGCCCACATACAACGATGCCTTCCTGCTATACAGAAGCATGTCTGTCAGTATCAAAGAGCCCTGCCCTGTCAATACCATACAAAACCAATGTGCAGTGGGCGTGAAGGTCTGCCCTTGGTACTAGACAGTCTTTGGATCCTGATGAGTGTACCTCCATCATTATGTGGTCACATGGCATCTTTCCTTTGCCCCAAACATTCTCCTCTTCAGTCAGCCTCCCCTCCTAACCCCTGGTAACCACTGACTCCTTAACTCTTCATGGTTTTGTCTTTCTACAATGTCATAGCTGAAACTAAATCATACACAATCTTTTCTGGTTTGGTCTCTTAATTTTGTATGTTTAAAGTGCTCAACATGTTTTGATATACATTGAAACTATGATATTCAAGGAAATAATCACACCCATTCGATCTCTCTTTCCTTCCCTTCCACTCCTTTCTGAGATTATTCTCTTGGCAAGTTTCCAATAAACTTGATACTCACTATGACCGATATGCTGTGCATCGTATTTCCAGACTCCACATCCTGTGTCCCCCAATCAGGAACTCCCTGTCCTCCCTCCCTTCCCCAGGATCCCTGGTAATCAGCTTCATCCTGTTTTCTAACTACCTTTTTTAGTGTCCACATGTAAGTGAGAACATGCAGTTTTTCTTCCTGTCTGCCCATCTTACGTTCTCGTTATCATGATGTCTGCCAGGCTTCTCTGTGCTCTCACCACTGGGAAGACTCCCCTTCTTACCCCTTTTTTAAAGGCTGGATAATATTCCAAAATACATACAGATTACTGCTTCTTTATCTATATTCTTCAACTGAAAGACACACAGGGTGTTTCTGTATTTCACCATTGCAAATAATGCCACAACAAACAAAGGACACAGATTATCCCCACAAGGCCCGTTCTCACTTTCTGTGCATACACACTTGGACACAGAGCTGTTGGACCAAATGGTTTCTTTCACCTGATAATTTGCTTTTATGAGTCCTCCATGTCGCTTCAGAGCCTGGTGGTTCATTTCTTATTAATACAAAATAATTTTCTGTTGTTTCAATGTCATTGTTTGCTTGGTCAATCATCTAATGAAGGATATTTGGGTATTCCCTAAATTTGGCAATTTATAAATAAAACTGCTATAAACATCTTATATACAAGTTTTGCATAGACCTAAGTCTTTGGATAAATGCCAAGAGGAGTAACCTTGCCAGACCCTGTGGTACAAGTATGGTTTTGTAAGAATAAACAATAACAAAGGCCTGCCGGTCTCCTTCCAGGGTGGCTGAGAAGCTAGTTCAGAATTCACCACAGATCTGACATCTTATATTCATGATTTTGCTTCATTCTCAGAACAATCCTAGGAGGAAAGTGCTGTCAAGAGCATTGCATAGTCAACACAGTAAGGCGGCAGCGGGGGTGGGATAGGTGGGGGGCATATGGCGCCTTGACATGTCTCCTTAGTTCCCAAGAAAAGTGCCTACAACAGACCGAAATGCTGCTTAGAATTTCAAGTAAGACAATTTCAGGTGAAAAGATCCTTCTTTTTTATAAACATGAAGTTTTCTCTTCATCTTTTAACTCTAGACAACAAACAAATAAAACAAAAACGACATTACCTTTTATAAAGACTTTAACTCATTTTTTCTGACCAGTGATTCTAACTTGAACATAGTACCCCTTTAGGGTAGTCAACCAACAGAAGGGGAGAAAATCACACACCATTCTGCAGTGTTGCATGAGCACACGAGAGGGCCTACCTCCACTGAGCGCCTTACAAGGACTGAGGAATCAGTAGAGACAGGGCAGCAGTGTGAGTGGAGAGCCTGGAAGAGGTTAGCTCAGGATCCCAGCAAGCTACAGAGCAAGACAGGAGGAAAAGGAAGAGAAACAGATGTTTTCACTTCATGTAGCCCGTAGTTAACAACAGTGTCAGAATATTAAGATTAAGTGATCTGAAGGATAAAATTAATATTATTTTTAAAATTCTATAAATTTAAGTACTATTCCAAAATAATTGAACTAAAACTTACTGCTGCACAGTTGACTAAAGTCTTAATCTTTTAACAGCATGTATCAAAAGAATCGATTACAATGCTAGGAGAATTATCCTGATTTAAAGAATTTTTTCCATGTAAAGAAGGGAAATTGTGTGACTGATATTCCTGGAAGGATTTACAAATGCTACCTAAAGGTATTATTAGTCCGGAGTTCACGAAACTGTTATAACAGCTACCTTACCCTATCTTCTGGTTTTTGTTTTTGTTTTTAAATCAATCTGCACATTTGCCTGGAAGGCAGAGGCATGCATTGGTAAGCCTGCCTGTCAATGCCACCCCACTACTGATAGAAGCTGCAGCTCTGAGCTCTGGATCCTAAGATGGTTTTGCCTAATAATCACCTAGCTGACTTGATACTAAATCTGTTCATTAAACAACAACAAGAGAGGCATTTCTGATGCACAGACAAGGAAAATAAAGTGGAATGGTTGTTTTAGTACTCTGATCTCAAGAGTCTCAAAATCTCAGAATAATACCTTTAATGGTTCTCATTTCTTTGGGCCTAAAAGAATCCCATTTTAAAAATCTATTGGCTGCATGTATGTTGCTTCTGTAAATCTGAAAGCCATAAAACCAGTGATAACAAAGTGAGGTCCATCACTCACAGATAAAGCTTGTGTTGGACTGCAACACAAATTTAATTCAAAGATAAGAGAAAGCAGGTGATAAGAACCAGCTTTCTCTGGGAGGTGGTGATGCACCTTTGATTCCACCTCATCGGAGGCAGAGGCAGAGGGGCAGAGAGGGGCAGAGGGGCAGAGGGGCAGAGGGG